AAAAAAATTTTATGTGAATTTGTTAAATTACACAAATATTGTTTTTTATTTTTAAATGATAACATTAGTGACCTACAGTGCTGAATATGCTACAGTGAGTAGTACTTCACTTATGATACCATTATTGTTTTACCCGCTTATTCATAAACAACATTTTATTTTATAAAAGGTTTATAAAACAAAATTTCTATACGAAGTTTGATTTATTAATTTATTATTAAACTATAAAAATTAAAAAAAAATTACATTTAAGAAAATTATTTAAAAATATTAGTTAAAAAGAGTATTTTAAGAAGTGTGAAAAAAGTACTTTTTTGAACTCAACTTCTTTACAATAACCGTAAATTCAAGGTAATTTAATAAACACTGTTATACTAACACGTAGTGATTAAAATGAGTCATAAGTATGTTAGATAAGTACTATCCTAACAAAAAGTACCTTTTTAAAACGTACTTTTTCAATAAATGGCTTTTAAATAAAACTGTCACTAAAAGAAGTTCTTATGAAATGTTTAAAAAAGTACCTCAAGGATTATATTAATAAAATATACTTAATTTTAAAATAAGCTTTTCAAAACTATACTGAAATGTATAAAAAAGTACTTTTAGGGAAAGGATTCATACACTAGGTAATTTACTAACTAAACAAAAAGGTAATTTTCAAAACGTAGTTTTTTAATGAATGATTAATTTAAAAAGTACCTTTTGAAAAATAACTTATTATGAATTGGTTTTAAATGAAATCTTAGCCATTTAAGAAATTTGAAAATATATTAAAAAGTACTTTAAAATAAAGTATTTTTTTTTTAACTAAACTTCTTGAAAATGACCTTAAAGTAAAAGAGCTTTAATAAAGACTTTCGAACTAACACATGCAGGTTCAAAAAGGAGTCATATGCATTAATGTACTATCTACAAAAAAAGTACTTTTTTAAATGTACTTTTTAAAAAATGACTTTTAAATGAAACTATTGGCAATATAAATACTTGTAAAATGTATAAAAAAGTACTTTTTGGTAAAGTGATAAAATAATGTCCTCAAAAATATGTATTATTTAGAAAGTACCTTTTAAATGAAATCTTAACAAAAAGTACATTTACAAAACGTACTTTTATAATGAAAAGCTTTTAAATAAAACTGTTATTTAAAAAGTACCTTTTTAAAACTATCTTTTTAATGAATGTGGCTTAAAGTTTTCCAAAAGTACTTCATGGATAAGTACTTTTTTAAAACTAAACTTTTGGGAAACAACTATCTATCGATAATATGTACTTTAGTTAAAAAGTACTTTTGCAAAATTAAAATTTTGGACTGTTTGAATGGAACAGTATGATGGCCATTTAAGTGGCGCTTTTTGATGGGTAACTATTCAAAACATATCCAAAGTATGGGTAGGAGTTGTTTGGAGTCGGACAGTATTGTCATGCGCGCAATGTCTTGTCCAATCTGGTGGTCCCAAAACAATAAGCAGCCTATCGAATAAAAGTACTGAAACCTAAACTTTTTTCCAATTTGTGGGCTAAAAGTCAAAAATGTTCTCCCCCCGGGGCATGTTTCCACGATAATAGATCCCATCTTGTTGTATTTCAGTACCGGGTAAAGAGGTTCTAGCCTGTCGGAACTATAAACTGGTGATTATCAAATGTATCCTCGGCTTTTCCTTGGAATCATTTGACATGGGGTCGAACCAGAGTACCAGATAAGCTGGTACTACATGTGGCCAGTTGCCTGCAGGACTTTGTGCTGGCCTGTCAGTTGATGAGGTTCCTTTGGGATCATTTCGAGGAGCGGTAAAAACCACAGAGTAAGACTGTGAATTAATAAATTGTTAGATTTGTGCTGATAATGAAAAGATTGGGTATGAGGTTGGTGGCTAATGTATAAGAGAGATTCTGAATGTTTTTGAGGTGAGAAGGATGAAGTGGTGGTTGGAGCGTAGGATGGAGAAAGGATTTGACTGGAGTTATTAATGCCTTATCTCAGTATTGTGGTTGGGCGACTTTAAGATGTTAAGGAATACTCTGGGGTGAGTCTTTAGATGTTGAGAATGTGCTAGGGAAATGAGCATTCCTCATAGCATCAAAGGAGTATTTAAGTATTAACCAGTGATTGCCTTTTCCTTGTCGAGGTTTAATTGAGCTATTGACTCATCATACCTGTTCTTCCTCAACGGTGCTACTATGACAAGAGATTAGATAGCTCGAGTACTTGAGCAAAGTGTTTGTACATAGACCGGCAGTGCTGGTAAGTCGTGAAAGAAGCTGTGGATGGAGAAGATCACGGTGAAATAAGTCAGGAGGTGTTCAAATAAATCACTCCGACATCTTGTACGATACACAATCGATGCCGTTTCATTTTGAAACGAAAACAAATTACGACATACAACATCAGGCGAAATCAATCTTCCGGTATACCGGAAGGTGACCACCCTTATGATGTCATGCAAGATTGTATTATTTAAAATGCAATCCCCATCAACTAATGACCCATTCCAGTGAATTCCTTAACCTCTTTAAGAAATAGCTCTATTAATTCGGCAACAGCACCTAGAGACGTATTTGATAGTTCGAAATATCCAGAAATAGCTCTATTGATTCGGCAACAGCACCTAGAGACGTATTTGGTAGTCCGAAATATCCAGTTATTAAATCTAGATTTCTCTGTATGTCAGATAATGTGACAAGGGATGTAGACAATTCCAAAGTCAATTCGAAACCAATAATTGCTCTCACAAGTTGAGGGAACGGACCTCAACCATATGTCGTGTAGCATGAAACAATCCTGTTGAGATGGCAACAGCACCGAGAACTTCCCAAAAGTAAAAGTTCTACTAAATCAGTACTAGTCTCCTGTCGGGCAGAGGAAGAGTAAGCGGATAGACATGAATGTCAAGAGCTTAACGTGAATACCTGCCTTGACGGCCTTATTTCACGGTGGTCTTTTTTATTCACTGTGTCGACTTAAGAACGGTCTACCACACGCCCCTGAATCCTTCTATGAAGAACTCAGGTGGCAATTTTTGTACATGGCTGAGCCGGTCCATGTACAAGCACTTTGTTGAAGAACTCGAGCTATCTAATCTCTTGCCAAGTGATCACGTTGCGGAAAGACAGATAGCAAGCTACCCCGACAGGCTGAAAAGTACGAGGCGAATCGAAAGAGAGGGGTCAACGAAGACCGCAACATCGCACCCATTGAATCTATAATCTCGGGATCAACACCGAGATAGACCATATTGGTCTATATGCACAATCATGAGCGACGCCGTAGCGTCTCCATCCTCTAACGATCCGCACTGGTAGTATGCACAACCATTAGTCGCGCAACCACATCACGATGCTCTGTTGCTTCGGCAACAGTACCTAGGGACAAATTGGTAGATTGAATCATAGATTCCATAATAACTTGACAAGACTTATTTCAGTGGCCATTAGGATCTATTGCTTTGTGTTAAGCATGATTAGTGTAAACTCCAAACACAACCAACCATGAAGGAAAATTGCCGATAAAACAAAGATTAAACATCATCACCAAACCGCTCAAAAACCATCATACGTCATACTTAAGTATGCAGCAAAACACCAACCCATCAATCTTCTCATCCACGGAAGGGTCCGTCTCATCCAACACTTCCATCTCTTTCGACACTTTCGTCTCTACGACTTCCGTTTCTTCCGACACTTCCATATCTTCCGACATTTTCATCTCTTCCATCAGATACATCATCTCCAACAGTCAACACATCATTTTAATGGTCAATCATTGCATTATCAGCTCATTTCCAACATTTTATTCCACAGCCTATCCTGTGGTTTGTACCGATCAACCGTCGATAACAGAAACTTATCTTGAAAAGATATTACTTCACCGTGAATCAAACGGTGAAGCACCTGTCCCTTTTCCGCGATTTTGGATATAAATGGATCCCGAAGGAACCTCAACCAACTGACCAGATAGGACAAAGTACTGTGGGCAACAAGCCAGCCGTAGAGCCAGATTATATTGGTACTCTGGTTAGACCCCATGTCAAATCATTCCAAGGAAAGGCCGAGGATACATTTGATCATCACCAGTTTATAGTCCCGGCAGACTAGAGGTATTGTTATGCACCTCTATACCCCGGGATTGCAATACATCAAGGAAACATGCCCCGGGGGGATGGTATTTCACGAGATTATGGCATAAAAAGCCCAAATAGGGAGATCTGGTTGTATGGGGAAATAATGGACCGATTTTCAATAGGTTTTGTCCCTGTACTGAAAAACACGTTTGATCCAAATTTAATCAAAATATTTTGAACAGCCAGCTGGACAGACGGACGAACATATCTTAATGGAGTCAGAAAGTGATTTTTAAGAACATGCCAATTAGTTCAGAATATAGGCAACTACAGGAAATATCGGAAGTAATATATTACTTGTATCAAAAGTGCTAAACTGATGGACAGACGGACGGACGGATGGACGGACATGTCTTAATCGATTCAGAAAGTGATTTTTAAGGACGTGGCAATTAGTTCAGAACATAGGCAACTACAGGAAATATCGGAAGTAATATATTACTTGTATCAAAAGTGCTAAACTGATGGACAGACGGACAGACGGACGGACGGCTGGACGGACATGTCTTAATCGATTCAGAAAGTGATTTTTAAGGACGTGGCAATTAGTTCAGAAAGTAGGGAACTATAAATATTGAAAGTTAAATGTTACTAGTATCAACAGTGCTAAACTGATGGCCATTTTGCCTTTAGCATAAAAATTAACCAATCTAAATATTCCAAGTCATTTAAAGGGCATTGCAAATTCGCTTAAGCTGCAAGTATTTTCAATTTAAACTGATAACAAACAAAAGTTAATAAATTAAGCAAATCAAATGTAAACATTTTGCACAGTTTAAAAATTTATTTTTTAGGTTCATTAAAAGTCTGTCTCTCGGTTTTAAGTACAACACAGGTTGGTGGGTTTTCTAATTTATTAAAAAAAAAAGAAAAATTTTCATTGGCTATACTTAAAGACCTAGTGTAGCGTATAATATTTTACCAACAATTAGCCTAGTAATTAAGACATTTTTATTTTTACAATTTTCAATTGTGGCGAACCATTAGAGGCATAACTGCAAAAAAAAGAAACAAATGTTAGAAAATTACTAAAACAATATTTTAAACACGTTGTTACTATTGATTTTTAACGAAAATCTACACACTTAGAAAAAAAGTGTTAAGTGAGGTTTTTTTTAAGCAAAAATAAAGCGCTTGCGCTGTAAAACAGATTTTGGCAAAAAAAAGAGTGTGTACGAATTGTAAAACACGAATATTAAGGAAAAAAAAAGGCGAAAAATCACTACTACCAATAATAAAAATACACTAAACTGTTTTATGCCATAAACACAGTGCTAAATATACAGAGAAAATGTGATATTTAAGAAATAATAAAAACAACAACGAAACAATAACGATGACGAAGTTTAAGGTATAAAATAAACCAAAAAAATATATATATATATAAACGACATATAACACCAGAAGAAGATTCAACGTTTTTCCTGCTAAAACTATACACAACACAACATCAAACGAGTTGGACACTTACAGCCAGTGGAAACAAATATACAAAATAAATTTAGAAAAAAAAATAAAATAAATTAGGAAAAATATATTATTTTAAAGTTAAAAAAAAAGAGTTTTCAAATTTTTTTTACAAATAAAAAGTGTTCATTAGTAGGTGCTGTGGGTAAAAACAAAAAGAAGTTTTACTAAATAGTGAAATTGTTTAAAAATTAAATTTTTTCTTTTTTTTTAATTTCATGAAAAAAATAGAAAAATTTTTCTTAGTGATTCACCATATTGCATTTTTCTAAGTGTGTTTTGACATATAGTTATAGTGGTGGTGCATTTAAGTAGATGACAGTGTTTAAGAAAAAAAAAAACTACAATTTTATAAAAATCAATAAAATTTAGTTTAAAGAAATTTTTTTTTTCTTCCTACAAGTTTTAGGCAAAATAAAAACAATTAAATTTAAAGAAATATATAAAACAAAAAGAAAAACCAAAAGAAAATTAATTCAAAGAATCAAGAAAATGTATAGTAAAGTTATATAATCTTTAACCAAGACAAAGTCAATCTAAAGGGGAAAAAAAATAAAAGTAAAGAAAACGTGTGAGTGCTGCATACAGCAAAATTAACCTTAAATGTAAATCATCATTAAAACCTAAAACAAAAAACTAGCAGCAGCAGCAGTAGAGGAGCAGTTAAATAGGAAAAAAAGGGGCCAGCACGAAAAATCCAACACGAAAAGTTAAACTTCATATAGTTATATATATACACCAACCCACATATTAGCAGAAATCCAGCGGAAATCTAGTAGAAATCTCCAACAGTCACAATCACTAAAACGAGAGGAAAAATTAATAAGAAATTAAATAAAATCCCTTAAAAAAGAATTATGGAAATTTCTTAAAAAAAACCTCTTAACTAAAAAAAAAGGCAAAAGAAAATCAGCAAAAGAAAACCTCATCATAGCAACAACAACAACAAACAACATGGAATTTTCATAATACTGTATAACATTTACAAACAACCAATACAACTCAATTAAACCAATAATTAATTTAAATAAAAACAAAAAAAAAAAACACAAACTTTAAACTAAAACTTCCAACTAAACAACTACACAACCCTTTAACGCTCACTTTTCTCAACTTTCCTCAACTTCATACATAACCTCAAACTCAAAAGCATAAAAGCACCAAAGCAACAAAAACGAAAATAAAAATAACTCCCTTAGAATGGGCAAGAAAAAAGTTCCCAGTGAAGATTTAATTGTACCACCACAAGATCAAAGAATATGTGGCACTATTTGTGTATGTCAAATGACTTTGGTATTAAGTTCGGTAGCCTTAGTTTATCTTACGGTAGCCATTTATATGCCCTCCACACGAGCGTTTAAAAGTGGCATCGATCAGACGCCCGTCATGTGTACGACCACAAGAGCCGTCAACAAGGAGAATTGTGACTGGGGCTCCTGTGGTGAGTGGTGCCTGAGCAAGACCTCGGGCGCCTGTATACAGATCTTTGTTAACTTACGCAACAATGGCACAAATCTATCCTTCCAGAATTGCACGAATTCGGCGAATAAGACATGTTACGGCATCGATCAGGATAGCGCCGATAAGGCGCGCTGCATCAATGATGAGTGTAAGAATTTGACCGGTACGTTTAATTGCACCGCCGGCCAGTGTCTCAATATAACGGATGCATTTGAATGTGTATTCAAGAATAGTGATTCGCCGGTGAAATGTTCGGGTCGCAGAGGGAAGATCAACTGTATGGATATATCGGGTCTATTCTCCTGTAATAGGGGCACTTGTCGTAAAATACGCACACCCTATAATTGTGATCGTCGCTGTGTCGATATACCAACACGCAACAAGAATGTGGTCTTACTCAGCGGTGATAAGGTCCATCTTTCTCAGTGTCAAACTGCCATTAACGCTGACACCGATGAGGAAGTGTGGACCGATACCGAGGATAATGTGGTCATGGCCTCCTGCTATTTCATAAGAACCTCGTCCGATCGTGTGGATGCCGTCGACTGTGTTAATGGTTCTACACTGGACCACAATTTACTAACGGATCTTACGAATTTCACTTATCTGAGTCATTTGCATATATCTGTGGCCACTCTTGTGCCGGAGATCGCTCCGCCCGACATTGATCTAACCATATCAAATGAATCGAAACTTATGATCAATCTCGAGGGCTGTGTCAACACACTCATGGATGAGTGTAAGGAGTTTCTCAAGGATTTCGGACGCGATGGCAGCGATCATAATGCCCGCGCCCGTTTTCCTTGTTACTATTCGCCCAATAAGAAGGACATTGTTGTCGCTCGTTTCAATCTAGAGGTGACATATCGTCAGTTTGTGGTTGCCTCGGTGGTGCCGTCAGTGTTGTTTGTGGTTTCGTGTCTAGTGCTGCTGCTGTGTCAGAAGACCGTCTATGTGGGTGATGATGCTAAGATGCGTTTTAAGGGTTGTGTCGATACCGATACGATATTGTCGAAGAATGCCCTCGATCAGGGTATGGAAGATAATGGTGGTGTTGGCGGTGGTGGTGGGGATGAAGTTATGGCTCTATGAGATCCGTCACGTAAGATTGAAAATTGAAAATTATTTCTTTTTTTGTTTAGTTTATTCCTTTACTCTATAAACTTTTAACAATTTACAAACTATTAATAATATCATAGCCCCAGTGGTTTACTTTTACATTTTTATAGGTTTTATTACAAATTTACAAATACTAAATACAATATATTGTGTCACACATTCTTGCGTGTGAGTGTGTGTGCGCGCGCTTATCAGTGTGTGTGTGTGTTTAAATACTAGGGTGGCCTGGTTGTTATTAAAAAAAAAAAAGTTTTAATAAATCTTTTTTTTTGTTGCAAACATTTGATTGTTATTTATTATTGTTTAACTATTTTTAGTTAAAATTTTATTTTTTTTCTTTGCGCTTTAAACAAAAATGTTTGCAACTTGTCTTAACTCCCTGCCACTTATGGTTAGTTTTAGCTTTTTTAGTATTTCGAAATAGTTTGCTTTAGATTTTCAATTTTGCTTTTTTTATAATTTAACTCAATGTCATTTGTTGCTATTCCCGATATTTACACTTAGTCCTTGTTTGGACTTGCTTTATTTTGGTACACTTTTTGCGAGAAGTTTTTGATTTTATTGCAATTAATACTTTATTAAAATAGCTTTCTTAGAGAGTATTTGCAAGTTAGTAACTTCTTTAAAAGAACACTTGTTTACTCTATTTTCTTAAGATTTTATTAAAAATTTGTAAATGCGAAATATATTAAGATTTCCCTCAAATATTTAAAATGCCGACTTCATCTATCGATCAAAAACTATAAAGGAATACTCCTCATGTACATATTTTCCAAAATTGTATCTCATTAGATACTTTAGCTTCTAAGTTTACCTACGCCACCTATAGGAGCTTTCTGCATCAATCGAATGAAATAGTAGGCGTATTGGGAAAGGTTTGGACCTGAGGGACGGTGATGTAAAACACAACAAACACTTCATTCGAAATTGCTTTTAATAAGCGAGCCTTTTTATCTGACCGCATACTATTCAGGCCCTTTTCGACGTATACAATTCATTTGGTACAGATTCCCTTTAATGGTCTGGCCATAACAGATGGAATCCTTTTGGTCTCATCAAATACAGAGCATTACCTTCAACGCCATGGATATTTAGCTTTGGTATCGATTTGGTTTATTAATCGGGCTTCATATACGATCTCTTAAACTTCAGGTTATCGTAATTGAACCATTTCGTCAGTTTCATCATGATAGTTTTCAATAAGCATTTTGAGCATTAACAATTGTTTCTCAAAGTCTTTTCGCTTCAACACTTCTTTTGAAACTGTTTTTAAGAGGCGAGCGTTGTTCTCTGACTGCACACTATTCAGGTCCTTTTCGGATAATGCTCGCTTTAAACGAATGCAATGTACTTGGAACAGATTCCCTCTTATGGTCTGGCCATATTTAACAGATGGAACTTTTTTGATCTCAACAAGTATGGAGAATTACCTTAGCTCCATCAATATTTAGATTTGGCATCGATTTGGCTGATTAGCCGGGCTTCACAACGATCTCTAACACTTCAGGTTATCGTAATTGATCCATTTGCCATCGCCAGTTTCAATTCCAAAATTATTTCCTTTAATAGCTTTCAATAAGCATTTCGAGCATGAACAAATGTCTTTCAAGGTCTTTAATTCATATTTTACTCAATTTTCTTACTTTTGGATGAAACATATTGCTCGTCAACAAGTTGAAATTACTGCTTGAATAGTTCCCATTTTCATAATTTCATAAGCTTTAGATGAGTTTGACAACTATCTTCATGAATAAATGCCTCTAATTCTTGGTCTTCAAACCGAAGTCAACAGATACGCCACAGAGGAGTGATTGTGGGACAAAGCGTTGGAACTAAGAGTTGGTGGGTGTTAAATGTATATGATACGGGATGACTGCAGGGGTATATGAGTCTTCCCCTGCCCTGAATACCTAGAGTGACTGTGTTGGATCTTGTTCTCTATAAGTGTGTCGGATTGAATGAGAAGTTTGCTGGGCTTAATGGTGATGGATGAAAGGTATCTTATACAAGTGATACCACTGAATTTTCCTTCCTTGTCCAGGTATGTTCATACCAGATTTACCACAGTGTGTTTTCTGTGAGTAACAAAGTCCTCGATTTATTTGATGGCTTTGTGTTTCAGACCAACGAATACATCGCTAGGTGCTGTTGCCGGCTCAACAGAGACGTGGTTGTAAACGGAAGTGATGTTTTTGTTTCTCAGAAATTAAGCAACGGGACAGCAATGGTCAATTAAAGGGAAACCAAATGGTACTTTAATTAGTACATTTCTGATGTAAATAAATAGTCAATAGGGAAAAAAGAAGTACTTTTTTTCTTTACATAGTTCTCTTAAAAAACCAAATGGTTCTGTTTAAAATATTTGGAAAATATAGTTAGAAAGTTTGTTTGTTTAAGACCTTAAACCTAAAAATTACGCCTCTTATTGTTCACAAAAATAATTATTTGTTACATTTTCCAAATAATTATTAATTTCAAAACCATTCCATAACGCTACTCTTAAAAACTCCCTAAGAATAACTTTAATAAACCTTGAATTATCTCTGATTATTATAATAATAAACCCATAAACAATGGTGACGTATGATTTATTTAAAAAAACAAGCTTATTATAATATCACACATACGCCACATATGAATAACTATAGATTTATCTACTTATATGGCAAAAACAAAATACATACATAAATATATTACAAAAATACAAAAATAACACAAAACAAATTAAGGTCAAACACCATTTATGGCCAAGTTGAAAATAAAAAAACAAAAAATATATATAAATGATACCAAAAAGAGTAGCAAAGGAAAGTTAAGTGAACAAGTTAAATAGAACAACTTTATATTACTCTGACCTCTTGCCAGAGTGTGTGTATGTGTGTGAGTAATTATAAAAAGCCAAACTAGTACAAGTTGTAAATGGCCTATACAGTGTCTACAAAAAAAAGAAAGAGTAGGCCATGAAGACTGCTAGATGTTTAGGTTAACAGCAGAAACGAAACAGAAATATGTCGCCATTTAAATAAAAAAAATATAATAAATATAAAATATGTGTCTATTTTATAAAGAGTAGAAGAAAAGTAACAGTATTTTGGTTTTATTTCTGTAAAATAGTAAAGTTCCAGAGATAGACTTACTGACTGACTCATCACTGTCCAACTTAAACGTTTTAACTTTAAGATTTTAAGAGACTTTCTAGTTCAGTTCAGTTCTAGTTCGGTTCTAGTTCGGTTCTAGTTCGGTTCTAGTTCAGTTCTAGTTTCAGTTCTAGTTCAGTTCTAGTTCAGTTCTAGTTCAGTTCTAGTTCAGTTCTAGTTCAGTTCTAGTTCAGTTCTAGTCAGTTCTAGTTCAGTTCTAGTTCAGTTCTAGTTTCAGTTCTAGTTCAGTTCTAGTTCAGTTCTAGTTCAGTTCTAGTTCAGTTTCTAGTTCAGTTCTAGTTCAGTTCTAGTTCAGTTCTAGTTCAGTTCTAGTTCAGTTCTAGTTCAGTTCTAGTTCAGTTCTAGTTCAGTTCTAGTCAGTTCTAGTTCAGTTCTAGTTCAGTTCTAGTTCAGTTCTAGTTTCAGTTCTAGTTCAGTTCTAGTTCAGTTCTAGTTCAGTTCTAGTTCAGTTCTAGTTCAGTTCTAGTTCAGTTCTAGTTCAGTTCTAGTTCAGTTCTAGTTCAGTTCTAGTTCAGTTCTAGTTCAGTTCTAGTTCAGTTCTAGTTCAGTTCTAGTTCAGTTCTAGTTCAGTTCTAGTTCAGTTCTAGTTCAGTTCTAGTTCAGTTCTAGTTCAGTTCTAGTTCAGTTCTAGTTCAGTTCTAGTTCAGTTCTAGTTCAGTTCTAGTTCAGTTCTAGTTCAGTTCTAGTTCAGTTCTAGTTCAGTTCTAGTTCAGTTCTAGTTCAGTTCTAGTTCAGTTCTAGTTCAGTTCTAGTTCAGTTCTAGTTCAGTTCTAGTTCAGTTCTAGTTCAGTTCTAGTTTAGTTCAGTTCTAGTTCAGTTCTAGTTCAGTTCTAGTTCAGTTCTAGTTCAGTTCTAGTTCAGTTCTAGTTCAGTTCTAGTTCAGTTCTAGTTCAGTTCTAGTTCAGTTCTAGTTTAGTTCTAGTTTAGTTCTAGTTCAGTTCTAGTACAGTTCTAGTTCAGTTCTAGTTCAGTTCTAGTTCAGTTCTAGTTCAGTTCTAGTTCAGTTCTAGTTCAGTTCTAGTTCAGTTCTAGTTCAGTTCTAGTTCAGTTCTAGTTCAGTTCTAGTTCAGTTCTAGTTCAGTTCTAGTTCAGTTCTAGTTCAGTTCTAGTACAGTTCTAGTTCTAGTTCTAGTTCAGTTCTAGTTCAGTTCTAGTTCAGTTCTAGTTCAGTTCAGTTCTAGTTCAGTTCTAGTTCTAGTTCAGTTCTAGTTCAGTTCTAGTTCAGTTCTAGTTCAGTTCTAGTTCAGTTCTAGTTCAGTTCTAGTTCAGTTCTAGTTCAGTTCTAGTTCAGTTCTAGTTCAGTTCTAGTTCAGTTCTAGTTCAGTTCTAGTTCAGTTCTAGTTCAGTTCTAGTTCAGTTCTAGTTCAGTTCTAGTTCAGTTCTAGTTCAGTTCTAGTTCAGTTCTAGTTCAGTTCTAGTTCAGTTCTAGTTTCAGTTCTAGTTCCAGTTCTAGTTCAGTTTCTAGTTCAGTTCTAGTTCAGTTCTAGTCCAGTTCTAGTTCAGTTCTAGTTCAGTTCTAGTTCAGTTCTAGTTCAGTTCTAGTTCAGTTTAGTTCAGTTCTAGTTCAGTTCTAGTTCAGTTCTAGTTCAGTTCTAGTTCAGTTCTAGTTCAGTTCTAGTTCAGTTCTAGTTCAGTTCTAGTTCAGTTCTAGTTCAGTTCTAGTTCAGTTCTAGTTCAGTTCTAGTTCAGTTCTAGTTCAGTTCTAGTTCAGTTCTAGTTCAGTTCTAGTTCAGTTCTAGTTCAGTTCTAGTTCAGTTCTAGTTCAGTTCTAGTTCAGTTCTAGTTCAGTTCTAGTTCAGTTCTAGTTCAGTTCTAGTTCAGTTCT